ATAAAGATTTTATTTATTATTTGACAGAGAGAGAGAGCACGAGAGGGGGGAGGGTCAGAGGGAGAAGCAGACCCCCCGCCGAGCAGGGAGCCAGATGCGGGACTCGATCCAGGGACTCCAGGATCATGACCTGAGCCGAAGGCAGTCGCTTAACCAACTGAGCCACCCAGGTGCCCAACACCTCTGTCACTTTTTGCTCCATGGCCTACAAAAGGCTATTTAACTCTCCAAGTCCCTGTTTCCTCATTGAAAAAAATACGACTAATGCCTTGAAATTGATTATTTTGATAATTAAATGGAAAAATTTGTGTGCAGTGCTTAGCACAGGGGCAGACAACTTACGTTCAATAAATACTAGCACTGACTTGTATATTATACACATGATGAAGATCGTGATTTACAGCCTTTAGAAATATGCTATAGACTTAAAAAAAAAGTCTTTTTCCAAAATTAGTGCCCTACTAATTAAGCATTAAGGCAACATAAACATACATATAAAACCAATCTTGTTTTAAATGCTAATTGATGTTTTTCCATACTTTATTTTACTCTGAAATATTTCACTAAAATGTTCTTTAGACACTTACCAAACACAGGCATTTAAATCAATTCAGTAAAATAAATTCAAAAACTCACCGTAAAAAGATCTGTTTCTTATTTTTAATTTAATATGTCCCTGTGAACACTAAATTCATACAATTTGTTATCTGACTGGACTAGATCAGCTACGTTTGTAATAAGTAAGATGAGATTGTTTCATGGCATAAATACTGTAAGTACTTAAACCAAAATTTCAAAAATTACTTTTGGAGTTACTATTTCCATTAATGTACTTACATCTAAATGTAAATTATATGAAAATTTTTATCCTTCATGCAATCTATGTTTTATAAAATTAATAAAGAGTTCACTATCAAATACTAACTCTGAATATTTAGGAACTGTATTCCCTGTGCTTCTTTTATCTCTGAAAATTAAATGAAATTAGAGAAAAGTGTCTAAATGACTTCTCCAAACAGGGGAATTCAAAGTCAGAGAAATAGCTGCTATTCTTCAAGAAAGGGGGGAGGAAGAAAGGGAAGGGGATGCAAGACAGAGATCCCTTTGAGTATTATCTTGAGTGATATGGAAACCCAAATTCCAGATGATATAATCTTAGTAACAGAGCAAAATCTCAGAAGGCTATAGATTTGTAGGAAAGCTCAGAAGGCAATGAGGTCCCTGAGACCAGGGACTGGAGCCATCTTTATAGCCTTAGCACCTAGCACCAGGGGAGTACCAGGGCACCCAGAGTGATGAATCCCATTTTATTTTGCTTTGCTTAAAGATTTATTTATTTATTTGAGAGACAGAGAGAGAGCATTGAGGGCAGGGACAGAGGGAGAGGGAGAGAGAGAGTCTCAAGCAGACTCCCCGCTGAGCACGGACCCAGACGCAGGGCTCGATGCCACGACCCTGAGATCATGACCTGAGTCAAAATCAAGAGTCGGATGCTTAAACAACTAAGCCACACAGGCACTGGTGAATCCCATTTTATATCCCCCTCTGCTAAACACGAGAATACTTTTCAGTAATAGCTCTGTATACATAAGTAATCATTTTTATTTTCTTGATTTGTTCTTTAGGTTTATAACAATGTAAAAAGAAAAAAAATTGAAATTTAAAGACATTTACATTCAATAAAATATTTCATATATGAACTAAAATTTGCACTTGAACAAAATATCACACCTCACAGTTTGCACTACATCTCGCTGTTTTAAATTTTAAATGATCCAAATCAATGTGCACTTAGTCTTGGAACACATGTGTAACTGAGTTCATGTGTGCTGGCAGATACAGAATATAAACTTCATGATAAATACAGCAATTGTTTGGAAACTGGACCAACAAAAGACCTTTCTGGCAATAGTATTTTGACACTGATACTGTTTAGAATTGCTGACACATGGTGATAATACAAAGCAAAAAAACATTTAGTTGATTTTCCCATAATTTTTCATTCTTCCCAGAAAATGCACTCCCTATTCCTTTCATCCAACACCTACTGTATGTATGTCACTAATGCTCTGCTTATCAGGTGTTTAATTAGTACATTTTTGATTATTAGTAACTAAAAATACAAGATAAAATTGATAAATGCCCTTTGAAAGTATAGCTAAATGCCAAAGAATTTAAGTCTCCTCTGAAATGTCTTTGTAGTGGAAATAATGAGGACAGGCATTGCTGTAGAGTTAGATTCAATATTGTTCTTAAAACGAGAGGTGAGTTCAGACATGCAGAGATTGGAATACTCAGGAAATATTCTAGGTGCTAGAAATTAGGGGGAAAGGACAACAGGTGGAACACTTCAGAACATGTATGGAGAACCAGGACAAATTTGGTTTAGATGAAGACTGGGATAAATGAAAATAGTGGAGGAAAATGTTATAAAAGGAAATTTGAGTACAATCCAGGAAGGCTTTAATATCAGACCAAAGCATTTATATGTCATTTAGTAATACGTTATTTAGTATAAAGAATTACTACAAAGACGTGAAAGAAAATGAATACATGATATCTTTCATATACTAACCCTCTAGAAACAAATGTGTCTATAGTTGCTATAGAATTTATGTTTTGTATGTGGTGCTTCTATTGTTGCAGTATCATTGCTCAATAATAAAAATAATCAATATTTCAGCTAGCTATTGGATGATTAATGATGGCTGCAGCTGTGAAGACAGATTTGTCTAGACATGACCTTTATTTTTACTGCTAACATCCTCAGATCATTCAATAAATATAAATCCAGATGTTAATATGAATAGGCAAAAACACGGATACTTCCTTCTATTAATGATGAACTCTGTGCTAATGTTTAGTAGGATTCCAGTGAGAAAATATGTTATCTGGGATCACTCAGAAAGAAAGAGATTTTTAAATAAATTTAAAAATAAAAAGTAAGATATCTTCTCATCTTTCTCATGAACCCTGATTCACATATGTTTTCTTTTATATTATTATAGCAGAGCCTACTTGTACTAAGCCAAGCTCTAGTTAAAACCTTTCAATCTTAATGCACTCTTACATATTTATAATATTTAAAATTTTTCATTGCCCATATTCACATATTTTGAGTCAGCAATGAATACTAAAAATAATGTTGATTCAATATACATGAGGAACTACATCAGCTATTGTGAATTTAATGCCAGGAACTATGTTTGGTTTACTGCTTTACTCCTAGCAGTGTAGGTGCTTAAATTATTTTGTGAATTGAATAAACAGATATATCAAATATTTGCTCCACGACATTCCTTTAACAGGTGTATACATCACTACTTCATAAAAATTAGCAATCACATTCCCTTTTAAACATTTTATGAGAAAAAATAACAATAAATGTCCCTTTTCAAACAGCATCCCCCTTTCTATTTGTGATTATCATCCATATTCAAGACAAACCATGAAACAATTCTAACTATTCTACTAGGTTCAAATTTGTTGGACAGGAAAGAGACTTACACTGTAGTCTGCGCATATATATATATGTAATATATATATATTAACCTGACAAATAGAAATTAGAATCCTTTGAACAAAAGAATCCTTAAATGTTCTTGCGAATCCATCAAGCAGCCTTTCCTGGCCCCTCAAAGAATAAAAAGATAAAAAACAAGCAAAAAAAAAAAAAAAAAAATCCAGGTCAAAGATGAAAGCCACCTGCTGTCAGCAGGGAAAAGAGTATAATTTCTGGGATAATGGTTCTCAGGGATGGATTATAAGCATTTAATGACTGGATAGTAACTCTTACAGACATCCAGAAGCATGACCTGGCCTGGCAAAGTTCAATTCACAAGAAGTTGTATTTCTCCTGTAGGTAAGTGTCAGTTGACTGACTGTTGACTGGCTCTCAGTCCCTGGATTTGTTTGCAAATCCACAAAATCCCCCCTGAGAACTTTAAGCCCAGAGGAGGGCTGAAAGGGAGATAACCATATTTGTACTAAATTGTCACCTCCTTGCTTATTTTTGTGAAGTTCTAAGGAACACAACTATCTCACTAACACAATAGATTTATTATTGAGATGTCAGAATCAGCAGCTTTTAGTCACCGGTCACTTCTATGCCTCCACTCTATCACAGCTTCTTTGTGGTCAGATTGCCAAAAGCCTTGACATTCTCTACACAAAGAAGCAGATGAAAGTAACAAAGAAATTAAATGTAAATAAGCCAGACTGTGTGGGTTCCATCTGGGTGGTGAACGCACAGGATGACTGTTCTTTTATTCTCTGTAGCTTTGTATATGTTTGTGATAGTTCTTAAATTTTAAAAACAGAAAAGACAAAAGACGAAACAAAGCACAATTTAGAATCTTTCAGCAGCTTTAAAATAAACTCTCTCTGAGTCACATGGTTGAGTGATGGCTGCATATTATGAAATAGTATGATTTCCACTCATAGGCTTCTAATGGGTAGATGAGTCGGAAGGTAGGTTAATGGGGATTCCATTTTGCTTCTACTGTCCCAGCAGATTCAAGTCCTTATAAATCTTACATAGACATGTAGAGTAGCTACAAACT